CTCTAAGTCCAATCCCCACTCAAGCCGTGCCTGCAGTCCTTCCCCTCTCAAGCACGCTCTAAGTCCTTCCCCTCTCAAGCACGCTCTAAGTCCTTCCCCTCTCAAGCACGCTCTAAGTCCCTCCCCTCTCTCATGCACGCGCTAGCTGCCAGAGAATAGTGATGGGATTTATGGCTCTTTGAAGGGAGCCGGATCTTATGGCTCCGTTCCTTTCAAAGAGCCGTTCAAAAGAGTCATTCAAAAGAGCCGTTTTTTTAAAGGGGGCGGGGTTACTAGGTTTATCTGCGAAATAATCACCAGGATAATGATTGACTGTATTGCCAGACCTAATGTCAATAATCTGCATTGTAAACATGACACAAGGTGGTGCCATATTTATGTCAGTGAATGTACTTTGAATTTACCCTCTGTATGTGTTAAGTAAATAAAGTTGCCTTGCCTTGAATGAAATTCATGCAACTCTTAATATTAGATACTGTGTTTTTAAGTGGCGATGGAGATTATTTGCTGACCCTGCTTTAAAGGATATTTTGCCTTTACAAATGGTGCGCTTTATCACTGTCTGGGTTTTGGTTGAAGTGCATCCAACTGCGTTTTCGCGTTTGGCTCATTTTCCATCCGAAAAAACACGTTGTCTACCTCTCCTGTACCGCTTGTTATTACTTCTCTCTCGCGCGTATTCCGTTAAGACCCACCCCATGTCACTCCTCGTGCTGAAACCTGGTATTCACTCTCTGTCCTAAACGGCTTGTTGGAGCTCGCCCCCCCCCCTAACTTACCAACTTGGCTAACATCTGCAATGTACATTTTGTCAATAATTATTTATATTACTGTACTATTACATGTTAATAAAATATAAAGTTAACTATCAAAGAAATCACATAAACTCAAGTATAAAGAAGAGACCATGTTGTAAGAAAATACTTAACAGATAAACTACAATTGTATTGATCATGAAAATAATAAAAGAAAAGTATCAAAAAAGAATCGGAATCGCAATTCTTGACTTGGTATCAGTATCGAAACCGAAATGTTGGTATCGCTACAACACTAGTAGATATTGCACATCATCCCTTTTCTTTCCTGTGGCTTAAAGTCTGATATTAGTGGCAGAGATTTGCTCACCTGGCAGAGACAAGTCGCCCGCTGGGTCGCTCTCTGTTTTGGTCAACCTGCTGTGTTCTCTGCTGCAGTCCTGTAGGATGTTTGCCCCAGAATGCATCCTGTCCTCTGAATCACGCAGGAGAGTAAATGTCAATTACTTTTACCCTTAAAGACAACCAATCTCTACCAGGGTCACATAATGAACTGTTTTCTGAGGAAACTCACCATCATCTGGAGACAGGGATTCTGCCACATCCTCTGCAGCTGTGGCCTGGAAGGAGAGAAGGAGAAATATCTGGTTAATCCTTTGTTTTCAGCAGAGTGGAAACTGAAATGTCAGGTGGTGCAGAGCGGGCTCACGTCGGTGGGGGCGGGGCTGCTGGACAGCAGTGTGTGTGGCTGTGCATCAGACATCTCAGACAGCTTCTCCTCATCTTCTTCCTGGATGGGAGACGATGGAGACCTAAGGGTGCTGTAGGGGAGGACAAGGCAAAAAAATGTATAAGTAAAGAAAAATATATAACAGGTAATTCAATCAATCACAGCCACATATATTTTCACTCTTATTCTACCTCTGCAAAATATAGAATAATGGATTCCAGATGTTTTAACCTTAAGAATACATTTCAAAAACTTTAGTCGAGTAGCATGTAAAAGCTGCCTTTTTCTAGTTTATTGTGTCTAAATGGTCCTATCTGAAAAAATCTGCAGCAGCCACTGAAATATTATAAAGTTGAAAATATAACTGAACACCACATCATTGTATGAAAGAGGTTGTAGATCTTATTATTAATAAAGCATAATGTAAAGAGATGTTTGTGAATAATGTTGCATATACATATAATCTGGTTTCCTGTCCTGACCTGATTTCTTGTACATGTGAACCTACCTGTCAGGTGACTTGCTGACTTTGCCTTTCTGCAGACTGCCATCACTCAAATGCTCGGGGGAGCTCAGCTGTCTGCCGTCGCCGACCAGACCTCCTGAGAAGTTGATGTCATCATAGAGGGGGGCAGATGGGACGGCAGGAGACACTGAGCTCATACCATTCAGAGCCTCCAGCAGAGAGATGGGCTCAAAGCCCGGGGGAACCGAGTCCGTGCTCTGCAAAGAGACACAGACGAGAACTGATGGTAACAATGCACAGCTTATTTAAAGGATACAATTGCATCGAAAACACTGTCAGAGATGGGCTAGGGCCAGTTTAGATGTTAAGAGTCCTGGCCCTAAGGTCTGCTAGCCTACAGTAAGTTTTACCCCAAATAGTTGGTCGATAAAATGCCATAGGAAGCTGCAATGGCAATATGCTTTGAACCACATAAGGACTAAACTTCTTTTTTTTTGTACTTAATTTGTGAATTTCTGCTTCTTTTTTCTTTCTTTTTTTAAATACTGTGAACCTAGAAAAAAAAGATTAGAAAAAGTATCTATTATGCAGCCTGAATTCACGACCAATTTTCCCCCTGATGTTACTTGCCGTCTTAGCCAATAATATCTGATTATAAACAGATGTACAAAAGACTTACTGAGTGCTCGTCATGGTCCATAGTCTGAGCCAGGACAGGGCTGAAGGACACGGGGGAGAGAGCCCCGGGCTTTTTCCTCACAGCTCTGATCTGCAGCAAGGCTCTGAAGGCTGGTAAAGTAACACAATAATAATGGACAGTCATTAATGTAATCTTTGACCTGTCCTCAAACAGCATCAATAAAAGCCCTTTTAGGAGAATAACTGTTTCAAAAACATTGTGAGACTTCTTACGCAGCCTGCAGATGGGGCAGTTGTTGGCCTGGTAACGCAGAGTGTCTGCGCAGGAGTTGCAGAGACACAGGTGTCTGCAGGGCAGGATGAGAGTGTCTCGCAGGTCGGACAGACACACAACACACTCGTTGCTGTTGTCACTGTTCTCATCGTCTGACTGCTGGAAAAGGGAAACAAAATCAAATGAAAAGTTAAGCAAAACAGAAAGAAAGGTTTACAGCATTGTGATTTATGAGGTGATGTTATTAAAACCTTGGTTTCCTGGTTGTTTTTGTTTTCAATCCCATAGATCTCCTGCAAGAGGTAGCTCACACGATCCACCTGAAAAGTGCATTAACAAATTGTTTAACTTATCCTCTCCACTTTGTTTTGTCTTCATTTGTTTGGTCCGTTTAGCTATACATTTGGGCAGGATTGTACAAAATGAATTGATTTATATTTCAATGCTGAATGTTATGAAAGGCTTAAAATGAATAGCATCGGTGTGAGCTATTAAATAAATGGGGACAGAGAGTCTACGTTACATGAAATTATTTGGAGCTCTCTAAAAGTAGACATTTACCGTCTACCTGCCAGACTCCCAAGGGTCGCGTAACAGATTATTTTGGTCTTTTTTCTAAAGCCGCAGATGAGTATGTGGCTCACTGATGATCTGCGTTAACATCCTGCATTGTATTCACAACACAATCACAATTCACTGACTAGTACTGAGGGTATTTCAAAAACAACACATTAACAAAAATCTGTGTAATACGATACTTAAATTGCACTTTATAATTTGCCAATCCATAACATGATTAATAATATATAAAATAAGAAAAATCCTGAACTTACAATTTGCTTCTGCTTCAGTGGCTTGACAGAGAAACTGCCATCAACGTGCTGAAGTTTAAAAGAAAAAAACGTTAAATATTCACATCAAAACATTTATCTACACCAAGTGAAATGATTTACTTTAGATGTCTACATACTCTTTCAAAGGCTGCCAAAAGTACGTGAGCATGTCCGAGGCAATCTTGAAGAGAAAACACAAGACTTTGGTTGATAGTGATGTTGACCTAAATGTTTATTTAAGCTTACGTTGCAACTGCCAACACCGGCATAAATATTACAATTTGTTATGACTGTTGAACTATTCCTTCACATTACTATCTCTGTCTCACTACGTCTTTATTTGTATACAACCAGTCTCAATGGAACAGATGTCTCGTCCTGACTGTGATGCAGCTCTAGTAACTTACCGTCCCCTTCATCAACAACAGCCTGGATTACTATGGGAAACACTCCTCGGTCAAGGTCAAAGTTCAGCTTTAGGAGAAGAGAGAAAATAAATATTTAACGAGTCACCACAGGTGTAAACAGAGGACATCCATGTGTGTAGGTCGGAAGTTGTGTTGATAATGTAGACCTAGATACATGTGTGCTGTATAACAGAGGATATTTACAGACATAGAACCACACCGATCGTTGATTAATGTGTGTGACAAACTCCAAAAACTTCTGCAGATACTTACATCTTCCTCTTTCCACTCGGTGAAATCTATTTTAAAAGACGGCATGGAGAACTGTTGGCTCACTCCTCGCTTGTAGTGCACAGTTTCAGAGACCAGTGAGGGATTCTTTGGGCTGTACCTGCACACACAGAGAAGATGATCAGTGTGCAGAAGCATACATGAATCTTGGATGTAAAGTGAACTCTGTTTCGTCAACTGGGCAATAACATAGGCTGACATTTAGACATTTATCAGTACGCAAAAACATTTTTCTTTTAATATCTCGTACATGCACTACTTTGTAGATAAACTATTATAATAGAAATATATATTTTGGATTGTGGAGACATGTATCATCTTTCTGTCTCATGTAATTGTAACACAATAACTTCAGTACCAACTATTACTTTCATCTTCTTCTAAGTTTCATCAGCGGTAACCATGGCGACTGGAGGTTGCTAAGGAGCCAGTGTATCTATTCTAGTCTTTGTGCTCCAAGGCTTGAATCTTACAGATTGATGTGCCCTCTGTTTGTTTCATAAATCACAATTGTTATATTAAAAGACTACATAAGTCCAATTTCATTGGTTTGATTTTTAGCAGCTCACCCTTTGTGATAATACTCATTAAAAAAGGAGTTTGAGAGCAGATTCTTACACTGCCATCCCATTGGAGAACTCCTCAAACGCCTGGCAGTAGAGGGTGATGGCCACCCGAGCGTCAGCATCAAAGGTGAACTCCACACCATACTGAACCTTTGGTTTTCCACCTTCCTCCACAGGTGTGTCAGAGTCATCTTTATACCTAGAATCAAAAGGTTTGACAAACTTTTCAATATTTTCCTTACAAGAGTTGTTCACTTTTTACTGATGTGTGGTAATATTGCTCTGCTTTTTGTTACCTGACCAAACGCAGAGAGTCCTTTCTTATATTGACGAGACTCCTCAGGGTTTTGACAGGCTCGTGGGGTGCAGGCGTCACATATGGAAACTAATGAAAAAACAGCAATATGGATGATATTTAATTTGAAACTCAAAGCAACATGGTTTGACTCATCCTATTACTGACAAGAAAAGGTAGAACTATATCAAAGTCGTTTTTAAGCTGCTCTCAGATGAAAACTAAGACATAAATATCAGTCTTTACCTGCACTGGCCTATTTCCAAGAAAGTTCAGGTCCATGTTTTCTCCAAAAAGGTATCCCTCTGGATGTGGTGTGTCAAACTTTTCTCCTCCCATGAAGAAGTGGCTCGCAAAATAGTTCCCTGAGGACATGAGAAAAAACATGAAAAATAATGGCACTGCAAGCAACATTATATAGTGAAAAGGATGTATATACAGCTAGTTCAAATCACACAACATCATGCCAAGCTTTGTAGCATGGACATGGTAACTCAAACGTCTAAATCTGAAGAGATTTGTGTTTAATTACAATCATTGAAACTACCCATAAAACAAAACATATAATACAATCAAATAAACAAGGTTAAAAATAATTACTTTGTTTTAGTCATCATAGGTTTTTACTGAGATGCCGGGGTAACATGATGAGCTGAAGGCCAGTTGAAAGTAACATATGATGGGTTTGTATGGGTTCTAAACAGAGTCAGATGTATTGGTCTAACATTGACATGCCAGCTCCAAACTGTGTTTTTACCGTTTGAAGGTGTCCTAATAATAAAGTGAAAGTGTTAAAACCATGCAACACTTAACAGATACTTCTTTGTATAGCTTTGTAATCGCAGGCTAACAAGAACAAGTGCCGTAGAGATTTCTTATGCAAACTATACATTATTTGTTGATATGGGTGTCACTCTCTTGTGTCAGTATGAGCTCATGGATGATCAATTTAATGTGGATATAACACTTTTTGATTGTTTTTTGATTTCAGTGTTGGACATACATGTATTACAGCATGATCACAATAACAATATATCAACCTTGAGATACATAAACGACTGTAAACATCACAATGCTTTCTGAATAACGGGTGACAAAGACAGTCACATCTCTGTATGCTCATATATATTTCTTATGATTGTCTAACAGTGTATTCTAGCTGATGAGAGTCAACAGCAAGGAAACACCAATTAGACCCTTATTTACGTTAGCGAGTGTATGCTCGGTGTCTCATTGTTTATTATTGCTTAGAGAATTCGTGGTTAAGGGAGATCTGAATTCAGCCAATAGACACTAGCGATCACCTACCAGATTTCGGTGGAAATCGATAGGCCGAGTTGGCCTGGATATCGATATCCTCAACACCAGCGATTCTGCGACTCAGGATGGACCCCATCTTCCTGATGCTAGCTACAGTTAGCCTGGCAGCTATCAGCGCGTCACAGTTCCGATGAACTCTCCCTTCAAACGTACACTAACGCCAAACAAAGATTATATCGACAAAGTACAAAGGGTGTCGTTAATCTGACATTGTACACGTTCAGTTTGCCCAGTGGCTATGTTGCAAATGCTAATGCTAACAGGAAACAAATAGAGACAAGGCTGTTGTTTTGCCAGAGCTGTGCTAACGCAGCAGGGAGGCAACCTGATTGGCTGTCTCCAAGCGTTCCAGAGATTCAGGGCGTTCGCTTTCTGTTTGGGGACCGCCCGGCGGGGAGGAGATCAGGAGGGACGAAAGAGTAAAGCACGGTCTATATATTATAGTACGAAACGCTGCTCCATAATGAACAGCCCTGTAATAACTTGTTGCTTTGTGATTCATTATTTTTTGTGAAATCACCACTCTCATGTAATTTATTTTTTCTCATTCCGTACGTTTTAATCTGAAGTGTGTTATTTGTTTGACACCATGGGGCGTGTTGGTTTACTGCCCTCCAGTGGTCACAGTAATGCACAACTACATCAATGTTATCAGATGAGACACCTTTATTCATCCCACAGAGGGTACAACTACATTTGTACAATATAGAAATTACAAAATTCACAATTTACAAAATACTCATCTAGTACCAATAAAATAATAAGACAAGTTAGAAACAAATAATATCTGCAGTGTCATGGTGGTACAAACAATTATAAAACAATACACATTTCCAAATATAAACACAAGAAATATGTTTACATTTAAACTTAACTAATATTTTCAAACTTAATTTGGCAACATTATTGCAAAATGCAGGTGCAGGTATTGTCATTACGNTGCTTTGTGATTCATTATTTTTTGTAAAATCACCACTCTCATGTAATTTATTTGTTCTCATTCCGTACGTTTTAATCTGAAGTGTGTTATTTGTTTGACACCATGGGGCGTGTTGGTTTACTGCCCTCCAGTGGTCACAGTAATGTACAACTACATCAATGTTATCAGATGAGACACCTTTATTCATCCCACAGAGGGTACAACTACATTTGTACAGCAAGTAAAGAGCCAAAGATAGCATAGGCCTACTATTAATTAATACGTATGTATACAATATAGAAATTACAAAATTCACAATTTACAAAATACTCATCTAGTACCAATAAAATAATAAGACAAGTTAGAAACAAATAATATCTGCAGTGTCATGGTGGTACAAACAATACATATAAAATAATACACATTTCCAAATATACAAGAAATATGTTTACATTTAAACTTAACTAATATTTTCAAACTTAATTTGGCAACATTATTGCAAAATGCAGGTGCAGGTATTGTCATTACGAGAGACCGAACATGTAAAATATAAATGGTGTGGTTGAGCAGCTTGGAGAAGATTATTTAAGACCATGCTATCATTTAAAAACATCCAAATGCTTCAAATAGATATCTATAAAATCTTAATCTATCCAACATTGAAGTGAACAGAAACAACATGTAACTGTTTAAAACTGTATTGATTAATTTGTGCAATAGAAAAGGCAGTTAGAATTATACTTACAAATAATGCAGATCATACAGCTTATAGAATGTACTTCATTTATTCTGTATGCACAACAGACTCTGCTGATCTCATTTATGTGATTAAAGTGTCAGATCTGGCAACATAGAACACAAATACAGTAATTGTCTTCATCAGATAACATCGAAATATTTCATCTGATAACACTTAGATTTCATTGGATGAAATGTCCACTTTGGTTTCTTAGTGCTTTTTCATCTTCCTCTCGAGAAGAATTGGCATCTCAGGATAGCTTTGTTTTCTTCCGATATCTTCAAACCTTCGCAGAGGAGGTCATGGATCGTCTGCATTGAATCCACCTCTGATCTCCAAAGTGCTGCTCTGGCTCTGATAAACTGTGAGACCTCAGTCTCGCTTCCTTTGGCCAGACTCATGCTATCTTTACAGATGAAGAAGATATCCATGCCGAGGAACAGAGCATTGAGCCCAATGAGACCGGCCCTGGCTGAGTTGGAGAGGGCAAGAGGCCCTTTGACTGCTGCCTGACCGATATCTGGGATATCTGCTGCCACCCTGGGACTGCTGCGTAAAGCTTTCCCTTCCTGCACTGCCACTTTACCAGCACTCAGAGCCAGCTCTTCACTTTTTAACAGCTTGAAAGCAGAGGCTGCATCAACTAATGAGTCAATACCTTTTCCAATAACACCTACTTTAGCTAGCACCTTGCCGACCCCGAGAACAGGGATTGCTTCTCTTTTGGTGACGACCTCCAGACAACCCTGGAGACACTGCATATCCTTCCTGAAGCTCTCGAAGACTTCTCTGGCTTTCTTTTGATATGTATGGTTTACTCCAATCTCTGTGGCGGTGGTGACAGCGCTGTTGACTCCGCTTGTAATTCCCATGCCTACCCCGGTCAATGTCAGAGCCAAAGACACTCCAGCTGTTACAGGAATTAAAGCCAAACCAACAATGGAGAGCACACCTCCTACTGCCCCCACTGAGCTGCCTGCCACACTGGAGATCTTTGCTCCCTTATTCATCCTATCTAACTGAACAGCATGCTCCTCCAGGTCCTTGAGAGACTGTTCCATCCTCGGCTGTCGCTCTTTAAACTTATCGATGAAATCAGAGCAGGGTTCGTCCCCCTGAAACAAGAACACCACTCGGAAGCTCTGGTTCATCCTGACGATGAGAAAAGAGGAAATACAAAATAACATGATGAAGGAAAAAAGTTAGTACGTAACCTATAATACAAAAAACATTGGATTTGAGATTTTCTTTATGGGACATACAATAAAATCAACAAAAAACTAAATATTTCATAAGCCAGGTATGCTTTCAAAAACGAGTCCTGAATCATGGATGTCTAGCTAGGTCTATTTGGTAACAAAAGTTACCTCTAAAACCCTGAAGTTGCTGCAAAATCAA